CCCCCCCCCCCCCCCCCCGCCCGCCGCGGCTGCTGCGGCGGCGGCTCGTTCCCCCCGGCTCCCCTCACGTGTGATCGAGAGCCGCTCGGAGCTGCTTGGGCGGGGGGAGCAGGGGTGGAGTAGGTCATTAAATCGTTCTCCCGAGTGCCTGGATGAACCCCAGAGATCAAGGGCCAGTGAGGAGACCAACTTCATCCCCCCTTCAGCCCCCTGGGCTTTCCGGCGAGGACCGGCTCCCGCCCGGCAGTCCCGGGGCCAGGGTCCCGGGGCCAGGGTCCCGGGGCAGCTACAGCTCCCCTCGGAGGCGGGGGGGAGAGCCTTTGCACCTCCATAAATCGCGTGAGAAGCAACTACAACCTTTGATAAGGGCTCTTGGCAGCTCCTAAGGCTGTGTGCGTTTTGGTTGGCCCAAGTTGCGGGAGCAGCAGGGTGAGGAATTGAAAGAAACTTCAGTCTCGAAAAAAACAAACATAGAGCCTTTTTTCACACTTCAAAGTACCCCACCAGCCTTTTCCCTCTCACTCTGCCAGTAAGTAGAATCTGTTTGTATGAAAAAGCAGTCATTAAACATTATTGATATTAGACATATCAAGATAAGTGCTTTCTAGAAATTTTCGGGTCTGTGGATAACATAGCTTGTATCTTAAAAAACGTTTAACTGCTTTTACAGTTTATAAGCCAATTTCTGCTACACAATGTGAATTGTATGCAACTAAAATTTGTCAGTACTGATACATCGCCGTACAGAAGAAATAAGAACAACCTTAATGATCTAAAAGCTGAAATCAATTTTCTTGTTCATTAGCCTGTTACGAGATTCACAAATGTTATCCCATAGAAAATACAATGTTGTGGAGTGTTGGGTAGACGGGAAAAATCCATTGTTCTAGTCCTAAGCTCTATAGACATATGTACATCATGTATGTGCATGTGTGTGTTAACACACACGCTTGTCTTTTGGGTTCTCTGTTTTCTTTTGCCTGGTGCATCAGGTTTAAACCTTTTGCTTGTGCTTTCAAGGCCCTGAAGTACTCTGACTCAGACTTCATCTCTGTCATTAACGTCCGTTGTCATTTTTCCTTGCTTCTCAGCAACAGTGTGCTTATTTTGCCCCGTCTCTTATCACAGCTGCCTATTTTCTGCTAGGCTGCCTTCACGTATGGAATTCCCTTCTTTTGTATTACCTAGAAGAAACAAATTATATCGCTCCTAACACCAGCAAACTGTTACAGAACCATTAAGGTAACCATGTTACCTAATTGAGTAAAGTGAGTAACACAAGTTCTTGTTATTATAACCTTTGTCCTTAAAAATGTGAACTAATATAATCCAGCTGCTAAATTGGATAGCAGCCAGTTAGTTTTCCTAAAGATCATGATTCACAGTACCTCATAAAAGCAGTCAGAGCTGGCCTCTGGGATTAGTGATTTGTTTGAATATGATACCTGTATTTCTGGGAGGGCTCCAGATTGCTTTGGAGCTGTGAAATTTGTGCCACCTAAACTGCCATGCCTAATGAGTTCTTTCCCAACCAGCTGAACCAGTGTCCCTAATTTGTTGGGAGATGAGTACAGTGCCAGGTCAAAGGCACGTCATGAGAACAGTATTACCACACAGGGACCTAACAATAGCATGACAGTGGAGTCTTTTGCCCTCAACTCAACCCTGATAAACTTCCCCCCCCAGCCTTTGGCCAAGTCATGATCAACATCTGTCATGGTCTTTATTTCCATGACATATTAATATTTTTTAAAGTGCTATACAAAGGAAAAGATCAATAAACCCCTCTGTGTTTCCAAACAGCTGTAGTTGGAATGACCTTTGGCAACTGTTTTCTAAATTGTTGATAACTTGGCATGAATGTTAAGAACAATCTGCACTCTTCAGAGATGCTGGAATGCTTTAAGATCTGAGTGCACACACTGTTTCCATAAAACAAATCTTTTAAGTCTGTGTCCCAAAGATCAGCTTGGTTGAATATATTCCTGGGTATCATAGGTTGAAATTGTTTAAAAGTATTGTGATAAACTAACCCAGGGTTTCTAACTCTGGTTTTGTTGGCTGAATGGACTCTTTCCATTATTCCATTCAAGAATCTAAATGACACGTCTTGGAAGATGGCAAAAAAAGGCTCCACGTTGATACCCATAACCTTGGCAAAATATATTTGAAATTAGAGACAGTGTTCCTAGCTAGAACAGTATGTGCCAATCCTCCAAATCTAGGAGGAATTAATAGAAGGATGGCTCTGGGATTTACCCCTGGAGCCAGCAGAGATCGCTTGGCTGTAAGGGATGTGTGTGCCCTGCTCCTTCAAACCACACTGGATTTGCTACCAACTCACTACAGGTACTCTTAAGAACTTTGCTGCAACGTAGTCCTTTACCACCCCAAGTTTGTAATATGACCAACTGCATAAGAGAGAAAATGTTGCCCAAAGGAAAAAGCTCTCCGTAGACGTTTACTGTGTTAGAAATCCAGAGTTAGCATCTCAGTCTTCTTGCTGAAACTTGTGTGTGTGGGGGGGAGGTAGTTATGAAATATATTTCCTCTGTGATTCATAAATTGACAGTTTTTGAACCTTGCCTTCAATTTTCATGAAAGCTTTCATAGAAGCATGAGGACTTCCACTTTTTAATGTTTCAGTGGTCCACCTTTTCAGATAATCTATCGTTAAGAAAAACCAGCACCTGACCACATAAAAAGTTGGAAGAGCTGTCACAACGGGCAGTAACATACTATAAAGGATCTATCTTCCTAAGTGTCCAGCTTACAGAAGACTGAGTATATGCTTTGGGTACCTTATTCTGTGTGTGAGAGTAGCTGATATGCTCATTTAAGAAAATGCGAGATAGTTAAAAATAATGTTGCTTTATTCAATGATAGAGTCAAACCAAATCATATCACATTTATGATTTTTTTTTCACCGAAAGGTGCACTAACACTTGCCCTGGTGGTTTGTTATCCAATATGTTAGCTAGACTCAAAAATATTACAAACAACTATTATCTGAAATCACAGGCATGAAAAGATATTAAATGACTCCATGAATGTTTGATTTGGGTGCTTTGAGAGACAAGTAATTCCATATAGGTAATTGCTCTTTCTGTTCAAAGTTAAGAAATAACAATAATACTGAATAATGCCTTAGATGCTGAAGCTGTTCAGATTAAATCTTTCATACACACCCCCTGCTACCAGTGCAATGCCGAATGCATGTTAACATTTGCATGTTATTTGTGTGCAGAATGTGATTTCATTTACTGTTTTCTAGTAGACCTTTTGGCTAACAATACAATGTCTTTTTTGCTTTCCTTTTATGGCTGTGGTGTTTCCTTTTCCATTTCCCTCCATTTGCTTACGTTTATCCTTTTCCAGGGCCCATGGCTTATGCTCCACTGTTCCGCATAGACCACAGTGGCATCAAAGCGTGAAAAGACTCCAGGTGGTTTTAATCTGTTTTTGAAAAGGAGACAGGAATATGATCTCTCTCAGACAGATGTCGCCCTGTTTGTTCAAAAATAGGTTTTCAAAAAGCAACCCATGCCTCATTTTTGTTACCATCGCTTCATACACTGCGAGGTGCTATTCAAGTTGCTATGAAAACTAAATAAGTGATATCACACCTGTGAATGGATTATCAGGCAATGCATTTAGGGGGGCATCCAAACACAGTTATGCAGCACGTGTACTTTGGTATGTAGTTTAGTGCATTTCCCCAACTTCTACTGAGAAGAATGGGTGGAAAACAAAGCTAAGAGAAATGTCCCAAATGTCTAGCTTTGTGTGGGGTAATTAAAAGGCAGATTTCAGGTCACATACTTAATGTGGTGTGACCAAACCTTCCTTAATAAGAAACTTAAGTGTTCAGCAAGTATAAGGCAGTTTTCCCTGTCCAAGAGTTGTTTTTTTCATAATGTGATTTCTGTATGATCTGTCTGTATGCACTAAGTTAGAAAGGCAGCAAGTACTGCATAAGAAGATGAAGTTATGCAGCTATGCTTTATTTCGGATATTATACCTAGCTGTGTATACAAAATAATTCAAGACAGATAGACTGGCTGCCAGAAATGTCAAACTAACTTAGAGGGCAAGAAACTGAATGAACAACAGGCTCAGAGATTTGCCAAAATGCATTTTTACAGCACAACATCATATCAGCTTATGCTAGGTCAGTGGCTAGATTATTTTGCTCATCCAGGACAACAGCAGTACGTGCACAAAAATGTCTTGTACTTGGGGAAAATAAGAGAACACAGGATACATCAAAGCAGAGTATAAGAAAATAGTTATGACAAAACTATTACCAGAGCTCATGCTATATGAGTTGTTCAAGATATTTCAAGACTTTCATGGTGAGATTTGGAGGAAGACACTAAAACAAACAGCCCTGTGGTTGTCTGTCTTTTCAAAAATAGCAAGCAGGATAGGAGAAAGCATAATGCGGTTTTTGAAAATATGAGGAATAGCATTTGAAGTTAGAAGTATTGTCAAAATAGAAATGGAAGTTAATGTCTTAGCAGTATATGAGAATAAAAAAGCTTGGTTTAGTAGCTTAAGGAGGATCATAAAGTGAAGACTAGACCACTTTGCTCTATAAAGTAGAAAAGGGCAGTCACTGGAGACATTCAAAAAGGGAATGATAAACTTGTACAGTGCAATTTCCTGATTTGTAAGAATGCCTAGAAAGTATGCAGTTTTTGTGAAAAGATTTGTCAGAGCATATGGGAGGATATTACAATAAATGAGAGGTAAGAGAGGTGATGGCTGGTTTTTAGTTTGCCTTTAACTGGCATTAGAGAAGAAGGAATGCTAAGAGTTAGAGAGCTTCCTGTCACTTTGGAAATATCTACTATGACTGAAAGGAAGGTTTTAGAGTAAAGAAAAT